ACAGAACAACACCATGTGCAAGAACTTACTTTCTGGAGACCAAAAAGGACTCGATATTTACCATTTAAAGGAACAGTGTAAAAAGACACTATTCAACATTGGTTTTAAAACTCGGAGAGATCATTTTCCTTTTTTTTTTTGTCTAAACTACTGCTAATTAAGTGTCATCATTTTGTGTCTTACAAAGCCACAATTTTTCTAAAAAGAGAGCCTTTGTGTATTTTCACATATTTATCGTGTGTCAAAGCTGGTGGCTTGCTGTTGGATTAGAAAGCAGTCTTCATTATGTAAAACTTTGCGACTCTCTACCTTTATTTCACTTCTTTTCTTTCACTTTTCTGCTTTTAAGTTAGCATCGTTGTATGTAACGTGTATAAATCAATCTGTACTCCATTCAGTTGTCATATCACGGAAGCATTCGTACTGTACTTCAGGAGAACCACAAAATCAGTTGTGTTGGCCGTCGTATGTAGGAGATAATCGTATTTCTAAATCATTCTACACATTCTCTGTATACTAACGTATATGTGAATATTACAAATATAAATATAAATATGAATATAAATATGAATATAAATATAAATATAAATATGAATATAAATATAAATATAAATATAAATATAAATATAAATATAATTGTATTTATATTTATATCTGTTTTTTGCCGCTTAAACATTTCAGTCTTTTATGCGCCATCGAGATCAAGTTTTCTTCTGCTCCCGTATTTAAGGTTTGTATTGCAATCTTCCATCCAGAAGTGTTGTAATTTTTTTGGATATCTCGTAAAAGTGTGGTTATAAACCGGGTGAGAAATATAAAGACAAAAAGAATAAAGAATTTATTTCTCACAAGGAATTAGATCAAAAAAAAGTTTTTTTATCTATAGAAAAAACTATGGTTGACATTGTCTATAAAATGCTGAAGGTAATGCAAAATTTGTCTTTGAAATGGAAATACAGATGTAGTACCTTTGATTTATTTTTTAAAAAAAGATATTTTGTGTAAAATTATATTTGCTGCAAAATATAAGACAGACTTCAAAATGAAGCATCACCGTACCAGAGATTGTCGAAATGGATAGTTTGCTGAGATTACAAAAATCTTTTCGGAGCAATGTTTCAGCCATTACGCATTTAGCGCACTGTTCGTCCTGAACCACCGTATTCCACATCGAGTAACCGGATTTTTTGTTGCCGTCAAAATGTTTCTGTGCAAGTTGCATAACTTTCATCGCTTTTTTTTTTTTGTAACTCACATTCTTAAAATTTATTGCATCTTGTAGAGAAAAAAATCCTGCGCAAAATCTTATTTTAGAGAAAAACGGTATTTTTTTACCTTCTAAAGTCAGAAATTTTCCTCTCTTTTTTGTAGCTTGTAAAAGTGAATTAAATTTCTAGATACATTCAAAAAGTAAAAAGAAGGCCTTTATAGTATAACAGTGGAGTAAGATCCTTTAATTTATGGCTTTTCGGAGCAATTCATATGTATCAGCTTTT